AAAGAAAGATTACTCGTGTCACAGAGCTGCGGTGCAGAAGATGCCTTTTGGTCGTGACTCATTCCGAAATGTAAGCCCACTGAGCATAAGCAATCTGATACTATAGAGGGGTTAGTAAATTCCGATCTGTCCTGGGACGATGTGAATCTTCTTTAATGGGTTGTCACTTGAAGTATGTTGAAGCCAGTGCAAGTATAAAGCCAAATCTCTCTGGTGCTGTCTAACGTCCACCGCTGGCAGCGATTTCAGAAGTGGTGCCGTTCCTTTCAGCTGCTACAGCTTTGTCGTGAGCTGGGTTCCGGCTTCCCAGGATCGCAGGACAACTTAGGCTCTGCTTGGAAGCCCTTTCTTTTAGTGAGTAGATGCTAACTTCAGAGGTTGCGTTTGCGTCTCGTGTCGGTGCATCTCCAGGCTGAGTGCCTTTAGTCCAGATTTGGAAAAAGACGTGACGTGATGGGACCTGACCTGTGGTGCGAGAATTGGTAACTTGGTTTTGCATGAAAACTTGCGCAGATTTTTGAGCCCTCCGGAGAAGAGGGTGGAGTGTTCCTTTTCATGCATCAGTAGAGCAGATCCTACCACGTCCCCAGCATTGAGTAACTACCTGAACATCACTGAAAAAGCTGTAAGATGAAATGTGTGCGTTTCTGCTAGTTTTAGACCGTTCGTAATGAGCTTTTATTGACTAAACCACTGGAAAGCGGGCATCTTCGCCACGTCGTCTTTCAAAGCAATATTTGGGGCATTTGATGCCTTCTCCTCAGACTGTCCTGCTGTTTGATTGGAAAACACTAATGAGGCAAACAGCGTGGCTCCCGCTGATCCATTTTAAAGATATTTAAGCTGCAGATTCCCACGTCGTTAGGGGTGACAGTGGTGTCGAACAGCCAATCCCTATAGCTATGGGCATCATACGCATGATAGCTCTTCAGGTATGGAGCGTGGAGAGCCCACGGGAAGGAGGGCAGAGGTGTTGGATGGGGATGTGTATCAGATCCCTATAGCTGTGGGCATCATACGCACGATAGCTCTTCAGGTATGGAGTGTGGAGAGCCCACGGGAAGGAGGGCGGAGGTGTTGGATGGGGATGTGTATCACACCTGTCAGCTTGTGTGAAAAACTGTGAAGCTACGTAGTTCTGGTGCGGCTTCTACTCACTTAACAAATTGCTCCTAATGACTACAAAAATAGCCTGCCTGGGAATAAAAGCGACCTCAGTTCTTGACGATGCTGTAGAAAAGAAATTCCTAGTGAGATGAGAGTGCGGTGTCACTTTGCAGCGTGAGCGCGTCCCCGGCCGACAGAGCCTGCCCGCTTGGGTAAGCTTTCTGCCTGAGAGGGGGAGCCGGCACGGCTGAAACCAGACCCCAACAGGGCTTAACATCAGGGGACCACCTGGGGCTCCGTGCTTCCATGGTTGGGGTTTTCTGCTGGAAGCAGATGTTTATGGAGTTCGCTTTTCCCTTTGAGCGTGTCCGTGTTGCTGCGTGGGAAGACTGCACCGTGTGTGACTAACAGCCTAATTCGACTCACAGCTAAACCGATGACGGCGACTGACGTGCAGCCTCTCCCAACTCCTTGTAGTCGTCATTGTGTGCTACTTCATCTGTTCACTATGAGCCTTTTAAACCTGGGAGTGTGTATTCCTTTACCTAACCCAACTGACTCGTTATCACTAATTGATATTTATGTAAAACATTGATTAGCCTTTTCCATTAAAAAATAATTGCAACTGAAGGTGTGTTCCACCTCCTTTAACGGATGGGTATTGCGACGTGCTGCAGCATAGTGCTGTGGCTGCCCTGGGCCGACTTTGGGCGTTTCGGTTCTTCACCGCTGCCAGAGCCGGGAAACCTGGCACAGCCCTGGGATAACTCCTGCCCCGACCGCACTGAAACAGAACCCCTGGTACCCAGCTGCCGTGTCCGGGTCGCCCGGCCTTCGCTTGGCTGCTACAGGAAATGTGGGGTTAGGCAAAACAGCATTTGCTTCTTGCCACTTTGGAATGTTTAAGGGGGACGCATGGGTTGTAGTGGCCTTCGGTCCTCCTGCAGCTGCAGGACATCTCCGCTCTGGCAGTGCAGTTGGCGTTTAGTTCCTGCCACTCTTTGCTCTCCCGGTTTGTGAACGTCAGACCCCTGCACGTTTAGTTCCTTTTCTGGGGCTTTTCCGTTTAGGCTGGTGGAAGTGACCTGCTGCAGGCTGCGTGGTGACAGGAAGAGGATGTTCTCAGGAGGCAGCCTGTGGCCTCTTGGCCGCGGCACCTCGCCGTTCGGCTGTGGGTGTGCAGGTGCAGTTTCTGTAGGGGGACCGGGGGCTCCTACTTAGACGCAGCCACGTGCAGAGCTCCTGAACACGTATCCCGCGTGTAGGTTCCCAAGACGGGGAGAATAACACTGCAGGTCTTCCAGAGACAAGGCAGAGCAGCCAGAGCTGCTCTTCTGGCTTCTGCAGGTAATACCTGACGACCAGCTGAGCGTGGGTTGACGTCCCCAGGCAGCAGGGGAAGGTGCCCCAGGCTTGGGGGGGGGCACCTTCCCCTGCCTGGGCACCTATTATGCACAGGCGTAACCCGCTGTTGAAGCATAAAAGGTTTTCCCCTCCTTTTCCTGTCACAGATTAGGTCAAAGGAAACAAGCTATGACCACTGGATCATTTTGCTGCCCTCCTGTTTCCAGAAGCAGCTTCTGCTGCACTGAGGAGGCTGGAGATTCCTACCATGTGACTAGTGGTTGTTCAACAAACCCCCCAGCTGCACAAGAAGTCGGTCACCTGCAGGCTGGGAAGGGCGAAGGTGCCCTTCTCCGTCCCAGAGACCACACAAAAGCAGCCGTACAAGATTACGAAAGCGCTCCGTTATCTCAGACTCCCTCACTCGCTGCCACAGCAGTCGCTATCACCCAACCCAGAGTGGCGCTGGGAGAGGATAAAATGCAGCTCTTGAGGATGGCCAGGGTCTCCCCTGCTCACGTTTGGGTAAAGCCACACGGGAAGACTCTAAGTGGCTTGGCAAATCCTCTTTGCAACTGGAGTTAACTTCCTTTCGGAACTCAGATACCCGACTGGTCGCAGCTTGCAGTAGCAGCTTTATACTGGTCTTTCACCACTACGCTGTGAACACAGAACACAGTAATGACGGTCTCTGTGGTCATCCCTACAGTTACCTTCACGCTGCCTCCCTGCTGGCTGGATTGCCCAGCTCGAGCGATGGATCCCTCCATACACAACCACGTTATGAGCCAAAGCCTTGACGAGCCCCAGAGACACAGCTCCTGCAGACAAACGCGCTCAGCTCTGCCCCCGGGGCAGGCAATTCCAGGAAGTTTGAGGCCATGGCAGGCCAGATAACATGCTAAGCTGTTTCAAGAGTCAGCCCAGCCCTCAGGTTGTGGCAACTCGGAGCTTACAAGAGCTTGTTCCTACATCACCTCCAGTGCACCTGAAGGGGGAAAGACACTTGTTAAGCTCCACAGCCTTCCCCGCTTCGATTAGGGGCAGAGAGCTCCTGGGCTGTAATTCAGGCCTGAAAACACCCCTAGCAAAGCTAAAAGGCACATGGCAAAGCTCCTGCTGCTTAAAAAGCAGCTCTCCTCCACCGCCAGCCCCTGACTGGCTACCAGTTCCCTGGCCGGCACTGAGAGCGTGCGGGAGTGCAAACCCCACTGAGCAAGAGGCACGGCTTGGGGAACCTGCCCGTGCCAGCAGGGACAGAAAGCAGCTTAGGAAGAACACGCAGTGGTGGCACAGCCCTCCAAAGAACGCGTGCTGGAAGGCCCAGCTCCGACACCGCACCAGTAATACACCGCCACCAAAAGGCGGCGGAACTTAGGCTTAAGAAAAAACAGTACGTACACAGGGGGTGAGAAAAGACCTCTTTCCTTGCCTTTATGCTGCATCTAGTTAAGTGCTGGCATAAGGCATCTACCTGGAGCTGGTATCCTAGCAAAGCTAATTGAGTTCAAGTGTGAAGGCTCGTTAGCTGGAGCACGTGCTCTACAAAAAGGCTGGTCTCAGAGGGCCTCTTCCTGAAGAAGCTTCTCAGCAAAGCCGAGTTTCTTCAGGGAAGGTAAGAACTATCACCTTCCCCTTACTGCTTTTTTGTTGTTTCTGTTTTCCTGAGTGCAACATCGTTACCAAGAGCTGTTTCAGCAGGGGGAATTCAGGTGAACTCGTTTTGTGGCAAGTTGTCTGCAGAGAAGTAGGTTTCTTGTTTTTTCCCTTGCCCTGCCTTCACACTCTCTCAGGCCTGTTCTGTTGTTTACAGAGTCTATTTAAAGAACTGAAGGAATGACAATAACGCTAATTACTGATCTAATTCACAACTTACTGTTCAATTTCCATGCAAACAATGCTTGCTACATGGTTTTATTAACACTGGAGAAGGTGTAGGTTACTCACACTTCCATTCTGCCAGTACTCTACAAATGTTACTTTGGAGAAAAAAGTTTGTCACTAACTAAAAAAATCCTGCAATAGGCAACAAGAGGACTATTTATAGTGCTTGGTTTCTGTTGGCTAAATGAGTTCTGAGATCCTGCAGCACCCCAGTGTTGTGATAATCCAGTGGCAGCTGTTCTGCCACAGCAACTGTACCTCATCCAGAAACGATCAGCTCTGTATTTATTAGAGCGAATAAGGGAGTGGAGCCAACCCTTGGTATGCCTGACCACCACCTCGCATCAGGAGGCGATCAGCTCTGAGCCCCCTGCACCTCACCTACCCCCTCCCCTGACTTTATCACACCGGTCCTTCAAAACAGAACTGTAAATAGGAGTCGCTGGAAGCAGCACGTTTCTGACTTATCACTAGTAGGAAAAGCATAGAGTCAGCATTGCGCAAGCACCACCCTTTTTATTAACGATAACGTCCCTTTTTACAGCTTACCCTGCGGTGCCAGGATAGCGAGCCTCCCCTGCGCCAGCCGCTGCTCGAGGCTCCGGGTGCGCTGAGACCGCAGACTGTATTACGCAGGGCTGTCGCAGGACGCGCAACCCAACAAACCTGGTAGCGCGGCAGGTACAGCTATGGGACTCGAGCGTGCCTCGCAGCTCTGGCCCAGGGCTGGCTGGTGAGCGTGGCAGGGAGACTATCCTGGTGGTCACTCTGCTCGCGTGCAGGTCCAACAGATACCGCTGCCTCTCCAGCGACTGGCTGGCGGGAAGGAAAGGAAGGGCCAGTCCAGCTACATGGTGTCAAGAGGTTTCTTCCAGCACGGCTTCCTTCGGTTTCAGGCTAGTTATAAATAAAACGGGGAGGGCAGCAGACAGGTCTCGCAACTGCTCTGATGGGTGACTATGGAAGCGTGTCCTCCGTCCCAGCGCTGGCCGCCTGCTCAGAGGGACTGCCGGGCTATGGAGCCCTTCATGTGCTCCCAGTTGTTGTAGAGAGCGTAGAGGCCAGTAAGCGTCAGACCTGCGATACCACCTCGCGCTACCCCGCGCATTCCACCTGAAAAAGAGAGAGGTTAAAAAACCCCGTTAGAGTTACAGCTGTGAAAAGAGTCAGCTACAGCAACTTCCCAGAAGATGTTCCAAACCAGAGGCATCTTAATGAAACACAGTGTTTCTTTTATGAATAACTTCTTGGAAAAGGCACCGTGCCAACTCTACCCTGCCCTCCAACCTGCTGCCAGGCTCCAGAAAGGTCACACAGAGCCTGACGCCCATGCTGCTGTGCTGACTGCCTCCCAAACCACGTTAGCACTGCGGCCGGAGTGAACCACCCCCCAACACGGAAGCACAGCTGGCTTCTCCCAAATCCTACTTTACCTACTCCATCAACACAGGTGTGTACAGACAGACATGATCTCTTTCTGCTTTAAGAACTCCCTTCAGGGTCTGAGATAAGGAATCGTGTTCACCAGTTAGTCTAGGTTTGGGGAGAAGGAGAAAGGGCAGGAGGGAAGTAAATGAACACACCAGCAGCTGGTGTGGACATGACGGTGGCTGCCAGGGATTGACAAGGGCCATCATGCAGAACTTGGCACAGCTTTTGGGTTTTTGGCATTTTAAAGCCTTTTGAAAAAAACATCATAAAGTAGACAAAAGGGATCAATTGGCAAGAATTTACTAGGGCACACACTGAGCAATTTTCTTTATTCTTACTATTATTAACCTTCAAAATTCTCATCTCACAATGTCAAAATTTGAGTCGCACAGATGATTAAAAAAAAATCTTAAATTTATTTTTTATTGCTTGCCCAAGACTTGAAGCTTTTGCAGGTTGTGAAGGCAATAATACAGTGAGTTTGGCTACTGCCAGTGGCCAGTGCACCTGGCTGGAGCTGGGAGTCAGCTGGCAGCATGACCCCGTTCCACCCACGCAAGGGTTGTGGCGTACAGGGGTAAAAGTAGACTCCTGTTGGTTCTGCTAAACAGCAGAATGTTCCTATCCCTGGGTAGTAGAAAGTGCCTTCGAAAAGCTCCCAGAATGCCCAGAACATGTGAGAGCATGACCCTCAATAAAGCTCCCAGAATGCCCTACGAATGCACAGAACATGTGAGAGCATGACCCTCAACACTAGGAAGCCTCACCGTGCCGGATTCTGCAATGTTCATTGATCCCAGCTGAAGCAAGGTAGATAATGTGTACAGAACAAGGCCAGTTTCTGCTTACAGCCAGATAAAAGCTGCCCCCTTCATTGGTAAAACTGGTGGTGCAATTCAGGTTCCTCAAACTTGAAAAGAAATGCATCTTGGTAATCAGTGATTGTTATTTTTATTCCCCATAAAGTTGTCTTGCAGAACTGCACTTAGGCTTGTAGTGGGGCGGGAAGCTGCTGGCGTCAGCTAGCCTGAGAGAGCCTGTGTTACCTGTGCCGCAAGATTAAACGGATTTCATTGCAGTTGTTAAACCTACTCGCATCTCCCAGGCACGTACTGAAACCAAGAAGGCGCAGAAACGATAGCAGAAGTTGGACTTCGTACTAGAGATCGTGCCTAGCCGCAGCTTCTAGGTACTTCACTGCCAGGCTAGCTGTGACGATTCAGGAGTGTTTTGGGATCTAAGCCTAACTCAGTTGTCTGCCCTAACTGTTGAGAAGTCAACAGCTCTAAGGAAAGCCATATATGCACCTTACGGGCCTAGATCGGGATTTAGGAACATGAATGTAGACTTATTTTTGATAATTCACCCTGCATTTGTTGCACAAAAAGCTTCTCTCAAAAGCCTTTTTCCCCCCAAGGCTGCAGCTGGGTACACACAACTAACCATATGCAAGCAGCTTCTGGCCAAAAGCCACAGGTGAAATTTAAAGGACATTCTGTGCAAAACAAATATTTGAGATAGTTTGCAAAAATACTAACTCCTCGTTACTTTGGCGAAAAATGAATAAAACGTTAGAGCATGATTTTTCTGCTGTTCATATCAGGAAGTTATTGCTCCCCCAAAAAGGGTCTGAACCATTGCGTTGTGGAACATTCTCATAGAACACATGCAGTACAGAGCTACAACTCTCCCCTCCGGTTCAGTTCCTCTCCTTTCCCCTTAAAATTCTATTCTTCCTATGGTAGGTTGAAGACTGATCAAGCCTGGTTCCAGATTCTGTGAAGCCTTTACTAACAGAGTGGTCAGGCATTGGAACAGGCTGCCCAGGGAAGTGGTGGAGTCACCATCCCTGGAAGTGTTTAAGGAATGTGTAGATGTGGTGCTTGAGGACATGGTCTAGGGGGTATGGCAGTGTTGGGCTGATGGTTGGACTGGATGATCTTAGAGGTCTTTTCCAACCTGTGTGATTCTGTGAAGTCAGGACTGCTCAGGAAAATGATCTTCTCTAATTTGGGTAGCTGAGCCCCTGTCTAGCATCCGTGCAGACCTGGACACAGTGCTGCTAAAACACACTGCTCCTAACACAAACCATGTTAACAGTGTCACGTGCTGAGGTCAGCAACGTGAGGATGGCAGCTCTGAATCCGCCTACAAAGCATCAATCACTGGGCCCAAGCAGCCTGTGGGTCTCGCAGGCAACTTGGGGCCCCCTGGGCTTTGCTGGAGGAAGTGTTTCAGGCAGCCTGGGTCAGGAACAGGAACTAAACTTGTGCAGCTGGTCTAGTGCGTTACTGAGCAAGTAGGAAAAAAATCCAAGAAAACATGTAAGAAACATTTCTTAGCAGGCTCCCCATGCCTCTGCTGCAAAATTTTACCAGTCAACTGTTTTGTAGCAGTTACACCTGGTTTCTGAACTATGCACATGCAAGAAAGGGCGAGAGAAAACTGTCCTTTCCCTGACTGGTTAGGTTTGCATCCGTGTAAATACCCCCAGGTCTGCAGCAGACTCCAAGCAGCAATGCACTGTAGGCTGCAGCCCAGTTGCTGGGCAGGAAATGTTAAGCCCTCTGAGAAGATTACCTTGTTTAAAAAAAGAGTTCTCCACTCCCATCCCAGCTGTGTTTGCATGATACACCACCTTCCCACCCCTCCTCTGCAAGGCTCTGATAGCAGGTCTGCCTTGACAAACCCTGCTAGAAACACGGCTCTAAGCCTCTAATGCTGCATGGCTGAGGAAGATAACGTAAAGTTCCGGCTGACAGGCATTGCTGAAAGCAGCTATTTTGAGATGAGGCAACTTGCGCAATAATGGAGAACTGCTATGGCCTTCCAAAGATGCATCTGAGACTCCCTCAATGAGAATTTAGTTCTCTGGCTTTAGCTGCTGCACCCCTTCAGCACAGGGCATTTTCCCTCTTGCGTGCATTTAGAACAGGTTTCCGAGTGCACTCTGCAAAGACAAAGGGAGTGCTGATAGCGTTGCATTTCTTCACCGCACCATCCGCTCCTAACGCTGAATCTGAGCTGCAGAGTAGGTAAACCCATTACCTACACTGCACCATGTGAGGGCAGAATCTTCCATCTAGGACCTTACAGTTTCTATTTCCAGCGTATGTTACTCCTGAGGCAGTTCCTGGGGTGTTTAAAGCGAGAACCACGCAACAGCAAGCATTAGAAATAACTTAACTGAACACCCAGACCCACGTATTGGTGCCAAACAAAAGCAGCGTCATCGCTGTGATTAGTTTTCTGCCTCCCAAACTCTCAGATAATCCAAACGCAGTTTCTTTCCCTTCAGGGCTTCCAGGAACAAAAACACTTTTAAAGGGCTTGAGTTTTCAGACGTACAACACCGCCTCAGTTTTGCTCCAAACTCAAGCACAGTGGCAGCTAACCAGTCCCTCTGGGCCATCAGGCAGACATTGGTTTGAACCTCTGTGGGTGGTCCTGCATCAGTAGAAAATTCAAACCGTTTCCTCCTGCCGCCCCACACAGTCATTTTATGAAATCCTCTAAGTGTGGGGAAAGGCTGTGGGTACAGAAATTACTGAGGAAGCTAACAAACTTCTTTTCGCAAACAAGATGCGTTCCAGCAAAGCATGTTCCACTTTCATATTGCTGCAGTTCTTGTGGTTAAAATACAGAAACAGCAAAGCTTGAAAGAGGGAAAAATTCCCTGTAGTTAGTGTGGTGTGAAGGCTAAATTACAACCAGGAGGAATTCACAATTCAAGTTACAAGTATTAAAGCTGTTGAGATTACCTTGCAGCATTAGTAAACCCCTGTTTTCTCACCGAGTGAAAGCAGCAGTGCCTGACTGGCAGGAGACCGACCGCTTCAGCTACTGGGAACAGCAGCAGGAACCCTGCAAATCCCTGCAGCCCTGGGCACTGTTTCTGTTCAGCAGAGCTGGGAGGAAGGCAGCACTGCTCTCGGTGGCCACACGTATTCTCAAATGTTAGCCCTCAAGTAACAAAGCCTCAGCAAGTTACTACCTGTAGTGCCTGCCTGTATTTTACTCTTATCTCCTATTTCAGACCTGAAACAAAATTCTTTCACTAAACACCGTTTGATTAACAGTCCTGTGGACATGTTATGTTCAAAGCAGGTTTTAACAGAGGTTCTTAATTTCTAAAATGCCTGGCAGCCCTTAAATTCAAAGTTCAGAAGCAAATCCTTTATTTGCTTTCTTCCAAATAATGCAGAAAAATATTCCAGGGCCTTGCTTGCAGCAGTCTGTAAAAAGTTATTCTCTCTTCCCCCTCACCAAACAAACAAAAAACCCCTGTCTGGCCCAAAGAAAAACACAAATTGATTCCAAATGGGTTTCTATAGCTCAGATAGTAGTTAGCTAAGACAACTGCCCTGAACTTCTACCCACTGAATGTCAAAACTGATCTTTAGCTCTGGTCAGACTTTACTGCTAGCAATAAAACATTTAGCCCTTCTTAATTAATTAATGATGTATTGACTTTTCGGGGTTGTGTTCTGAGGTCCTAAAATGACAACAATTCCCTTCGGCTGTTGCTAGGATGCCATTCTCTTCAGATGCACACCGGTTTATGCCAAATCACGTAACATGCACTGTGCAGAAGGCATGAGATGCTCTATCTAGTATCAGGTTCCTCCAGCACAGAAGTACTATAGGCAGAGGAATTCAGTTTGTCCAAAGCATTACTTCAGTTTTGTTCCTGTTTTCCCTCATCTCAAGAAAAAAAAAATCAGAGAAAAAGAACACTACAACCTGTGTAATCCTCAGATAAGAGGTAAAGGTTATTTAACTTTTTTGCTTACTGAAGTCTCTGTCAGGCTTTCAATGAGAAATTCATGGCTGTCACATTGGCTCAGACCAAAGTCCCACCTGGCTCAGTATCTTTTTCCTGAGTGATCAATCCTGCGTGCTTGAGGAGGAATATGAGATCCTCAGCCAGCTGTGCTTTTGTGATATGATCATAGAATCATAGAATGGTTAGGGTTGGAAGGGACCTTAAAGATCATCTAGTTCCATGATACTTGGAACCACGTGTATTTTCATGGTGGGAGGGGGTAACAGTGACAGAGTGCACAGGGACAAGCATCTTTTTGATATTTTTGCTACTTTCAGACTAATACAATTATGAAAAAACAAAATAAATACGTTTGATTTAGAGAAGAGGTTGAAAACATGCAAGAGGACTAAATATTTGTTTAAGATATGTTAGTATTTGTGCTTTGTAACGTTTATCAGAAAAAACTTGGCATAACAGATCTTAATTTCTGCCTCTGCTTGAAATTGAAGAACAAAACCCAGTATCTTATAAAACGGAAAAGCCATCCTCGTGGGCTTAGGGTACCAGACTCCCTTTTAGCAAAACTCAAGCAGGGCTGACTAAGTTGGAACATTTCTCCTACACAGGCCACTGGCAAAGGAACACAAAGGGTTTTCTTTCATCCATCACTCAACTTCTACCCAAAACATCCAGTTAAGTGGTGAGCTCAAAATGCAGCTTCCATAAAGTTGCATGTCTAGTCTAACAGGTTTGTACTCCCATTGGTACATTTGGGCTAAAATCTAGTAAGCAATCTTGGGATTAAACTTCACTTCGGGTAAGTGTGAAAGCTAGAGACCACTTTGGTCAAAGGGATCAGCTAGTATGCTGTTTTCAAGCTCCTCAAATCAGTTTTACTTTCCCACACTGTTCAGCACCGGTTAGCCTGAGCCACGCGGTACGCAGAGACTGATTCCAGCTAACGCCTGGCTTGTAACAGCAAGTTACCGGGACCTGACTCAGCCCACGGGGGACCATCGGAAGTCTGGGGGCCTTAACTTCACATTTTAGTCACTTGAAATGGGGAACTTGGCGTGACGAATGCCACTTCCAGTGAACACAGGAGGGCTGAACGCCCACAGCCCTCGCTCACTCTTTTATCTTCGCACACACAAGGTGCGTGTTAGGTCCCCATCCTCAGAACCGCTCACGGTCTAATGGCTTGAGAACGTGGGCCTTTTGGATGGCCTTTTTTTGCTTGACCGCTGGCATTTTGGTAATGATTAACACCTCTACAAGGACAGATTGAGAAAACTGGGACCAGTTTGGGGTGACAGAGCTCAGCCTTCAGAAAGTCTTCCCATGACTTTTTTTTTCCCTGTCCACTCCACTCCCTCAGCAAAGGCTTAACCATTTGTTGCAGAAACTCAGTCTAGGCTTCGTAGCGTACACAGTATTATTTTTCAGTGCAGCAGGGTTGCTGATGTGTTTCTCCCCTCAGTGCTTTGTTTAAACATGAACCAGGAAGTCGCCATAAAAAACCTGCCATACTTTGTATAGTTTGTTCTTATATATATTCATGATCTCTTTACAAAGCAGGGATTACGGCAGTGGGGAAGCAGAGTGTTCGAACAGCACTGCCTCCAACTCTGTAACCAGCCTCTGTGGGCTACAGAACAGCCTTGGTCTGAAATGGTGTGTTTGTGGGAGTTTCCAGCTGACACTAAAATATGGGGATTTATAACAGAAATGTCCCTGAAAGCTTTCAAGTGTTCCTTTTTTAACGCCAACACGACATGGCATTCTGTGTAAGACAGGAACTGATTACGATCTTGATATACATCACAGAAGCGAACTGATCATTTGCATATGGTCTAAATACTCGTGGGGTTTTTGCCAGATACATACTGATGCTGGGTAAAGCCATAAATGAGATGGAATGTTTACCATACAGAATTAGGAAGGGCATTCTGGCAAAAGGTGACGAGAGGAAGCACGGGAGAAGCAGAAAGAGGGACAGAGCATGAAAGAAAAGAAAAAAAGGAAAATAAGCATGGAATTGAATTACTCTGTCAGTGCTGCCATTAGCTCAGTAGATCTCATGTTACAAAAGTTCCACTATGCTCTGGTAAGAAAAACTTTTGTAGTGTCAGATGACTGTGCATGTGACTGCAGTTATCCATGGCTGCACTGCGCCAAGATTAGACATAATGCCAGCTCTATACTCCTGAAAGGTATGGGGAGGAAGCCTCAGTTGGGGTGTAGGATGGCAGTTCTCCTTCTTAATCACTTCCTACAGAAAATCCTGGACTTCTGCACTGCTACCCTAGCCAGCAGTTGTTGGTAATCTGGCATATCGCCCACGAAATCCCAAGTAAGCAGTTGATTGCAAGAGCTGTGTGCTCTTGCGAGGTGAAGTGCACAAGCTAGTATTTGTGAAGGCTGCTGAAGTCAATTATTTTTGGCTTAACTGGTCTAGATCAAGAGGAAAATAAGACTCCTCAAACTGTCTTGCACCATACATAAAGCTGGCCTTCAGGATCACTTCTAAGACATTTAAGCTCAGTTAGATATGTAAAAGTACATAGGTTAAATCTTGCACTCTCTCTCCAGAAAAATGCAGGTGAATCATACAGCCAGACCTTCACTGAGGTACTAAAAACTTACCCTTTTTCTCTGTGGTACCCAGCAGTCCCTAAAACATGATCCAATTGTTGAGCTTGGAGTATGTGTTAACAGGTGTTCTGCTGATGAAGCTCAGACCCTCTCTTCTGCAAATAATTCGGTATGCATCAGCAAACTAACCTTAAATCCATGCTGTTCTCAAATAACACTGTTTGTTGGTTCTGACCACTGTGCAAAGACTAGAGTCCTACCACAAGGCAACAGTTTCACAAACAGCTAAGTAATAACTGTATAAATGTATCCGTTTCTCTCTGTGGGTAGTTTTTTTGCAGTCGGTGGTACTATCACATGAATCAGTTGTACAAAGTTTCATCTTGATGAAGTCAAGCTGTGTTCTGTGTATTCCTGCCCTGCCCCCTTTCACTTTATCTGTGTCCACTCAGGGACTTGAGAAACCATTGGTTTTACTCCTGCTAGACCTGAAAAACATGGCTAAGAATGAGCTGAGTATGTATTTATACCATCTCACTATAAATCTGAATAAACATTTGCGTGTTTATTCAGTATGTATGTGTAACAGACATAATTTGGGTCTCATGGGTACAGTTAGTCCTGTGCAAGTTGGAAAGAATCCAATTTAATTCACCTGTTTTTTTTTTTTAATTTAAGGGCAAGGTTTCCTTAAGCAGTTTTAGCCGTGTGAGTAATACTGCATGGGTTAGGGGATATTGAACTAATAGGTCCGAGTTCCCAGCGTAGCACTTTTACACTGCCAATTTTCAGAGCAAGGCAGTAGTTAGTAAAAGTAACAAGAATCCTAATAACTAGGATAAAGCGCAAGAGGAGTGAAACAAAAAAACATTTTGCAACTCTACCAGTGCTTTTGTATAGCATTCCTGTCAAGGTTCCAGCAGCTATGGTATTCAGGTCATCTTCTGCGCCTCGTGTTTTTTCAATGATGACTCCGAACGCGCTGTAAAGTAGAGCTGGGAAAGAAAAACATTAAAAACCATCAAGTTAAAACTCCCATTCTCTGAGACACGAGGCTTAGAATGCAGGCTCGGTGTAAATATCTAGACTATGCTTCTGAAGCACAGATTTTCTCTTTAAATAAAGGGGGGGGGAATCCCCTGACAATTCTCATCTTCAGTGTTTTTTTCCAGACCTGTTCATATTATACTGATAATTGTTCTTTCTCTAGCGGTAGTTTAGTTAGAAAGTAGCATTCTAGGCTGGCTGGAAGAGGCTTCAAGCAACCTGGTCTAGTGGAAGGTGTCCCTGCCCATGGCAGGGGGGTTGGAACTGGATGATCTTTAAGATCCCTTCTAACCCAAACCACTCTGTGATTTTTCATGACATCTAGTACTGCCTCAAAACACGATAAATATGTGATATAAAGCACTGAATGAAGTTTTAGCCCATTTTGCTAGTTCAAATTAGTTTAAAAACTTTTGGGGGTTTAACTTTGTACTGGCAGGCTTTATACTGTCTTCTGTGAATGCCATGACACTGACCACCACCACCTAGGTAGCAGAGAAAATTGTTGCCCATGTCTGACCAAGATGAAATGCAAATTCAGTGCAACATTCAGATTATGTTGTCTAGGGCTGGAGAACAACAGCCTACATTTCCCCTACTATGACTATTAGACTACCTGGGATTTGACATTTACAGCTACTTCACCTCTGTCTGCGTATGAAAACTTTGTCCCTGAAGGGCCTTTTGCTTTGAGACAACTCTGGGGACTGTCCTGGAAAGGACTGGAAAGAGAAATGCACTGGCTTTTAGTACAGATGCATATATAATCTAAGTCTTTTGATTAAGGGAGAAGGCACACTCATCCTCACCCTCACGCTATAATCGTATTTCACGCTGACAAAGAACACTAGAGCATGCCATCGTTTTCAAGTGATAAAGACACCACACCACTTTAATTCTCGTCCTCCAAGAATCCGAAATCTTTACTTCTGCTAAAAAGCATGTAAATCCTTCATGAGCAACCATATTAATGTCGATGAGTTGAACAGCAGCATCTTTCTCTGTTCAGCGTAGGCAATGATATTTCACCTTGTCTTAGCAGCACGGAGTATTAACAATGAGGGGAAGGAAAAGCTGAATTCAACAACGTTTTTTAAAATACTCTAACGCAAATGCTGCTACCTCTGTTCAGGAACAGCATGACAAAAATTGTCAGCAGTGACAGAAGGAATCTTTGAGGCACAGAAATGCTGCACAAGCAAAGTAAGATGCAAAAATACTTAAGCTCCATGGAAAGAACTTCTCTGGTAGCTAGGACAAGGCAGAACTATACCAAATCCCAAAATACCAAGTTGTGCTTAACTCTGTGACTTGGGAGACCATGTTTAATAAGAAAAATAACAATTTGTTACTGAAATTCACAAACATTTTCTTGAGTAATCTTTCTTGAAACACAGCTGGAAAAACCTGTTAATATGTCACTCAGCCTGGAACCTTGAACTGCAGTATGCCTGCATCTCGGTTTTTCAGACATGTTTTGATTATGTTTGGAACAGAAAATAAGAACAGAAACCCACCACAAAACTCAGTGGGCAATATGCATCTCTTAGGAGAAGTGCCATCCTCCCTGTAGTTCAGAATCCCATGTCTAACTCTGGTCTCTAAGTTATGCCTCAAAAGCTGATGTCTGAGTTAAAAGGCAAGCTGATCTACTCCGCAGAAATAAGACTGAAACAAAACATATTAAATGCAACTTAGCCTGTTCTCTGATACCCTTTTCAAATTTCAGGTATATACAGACTGGGTTACAACGTGATGTAATCTCTGTTTTAAATATTGCTGATTTCTCTTCCACTACCACTTTGTGGGGCAATGAGTTCCATCATTAATCTTACATAATTCCAGCAGTTCTGGATTTCTCCTTTCAAAGTAACTGAGCACCCTTTGGTCTTTTAAGACTGGAGGAGGAGAAGCCAAAGGGCTTGTATTCTCTAAGGATTATTAATCATTCCACTGGCTTTTATGAAATTATCTGTAGTGGTTTTCTGAGACAACTGGTGTGATTTTATTTCTCATCCGCTCCCCAACCAATCCTCAGTCCTCAGAAGTTTTTCTCATACATCAGGCTTTTGATTATCTTCTCTCTTTTTTCCTAACCCGTATTAGTTATAAGCAACATTTAAAGTGGGTGGTATCCTACGTGATTTTTCCAGCAGAGCTACCATCATAAAAGGATAAATCTTTGTAGTCACTATCACATTTCTCCTACAGATAAACATTTTGTTGACTCTTTAACTGGCAACAGACATCAGCAGTTGCTCACAAGACCACGGAGTCTCTTCCTGGGTTATTAAAGTTAATTCAGAAGCATTCAATTATATTTTTTTGCCTTAAGTTATGAATCGACCAGAATTTATTAACAAGTAAGTATTATCTATAATTTTCAGTTATTCCTGTTACTATGCAGCTAGAGTTCTTATTTGTAATATACTAAAAATTTCAGGGTTTAATTGCAGGGTTTTGTCTACTTAAATCTTCAAATCCTATTTTAGCCTTTACTTTCCTTTTTTAATGTCTACTGAATTGCTCCCATCTCCCAGAGAGAAAAACCTGCAGTCTTTCATTATGAAATCCATCAGGAAAACTTAGAGAATACATTTTCCCATCAAACAGTTACATCTTTAAATTGTTTTCTCTACAAAGTAATGAGTTTACTTACCCAGAGATCCCAGAGTGTTAGCCCATAATGCTCCTTGCCTTGTCACCATATTTAGAATCCTATAAAGGAGTTAAAACGTCATTAAAACCCTTAGGTCTCTGTGTTTACACCGAGGCAGTGTTTATGACAGTAGGTGCAATGTGTTTACACTATATGTTTTATTAATAAAACTGGAACAATGAACCAAAAGCCCTTCAAAACGTAACAGTAATGAAGAGCACACAGCTTGGTAATACATAATCTCCTCTATCATGCATACTACAAACAGTAATGCAGGCAAACTGAAGGTAAATACTTAGTCCTGTCAAGTCTTAAGAAAATCTTTCTCTCTTCTGAAGTCAAACTTGCACCTTACTGAGAACCCAATCTCTTCCCTTTAGGTGACTTTCTAACCCTAGCTGATAAATGTTCCATAAGTGGTGACTACACATAGGTACTGAAAATGACTGACAGACTTATGCTGACTTAACTGGGTAAAAGAGCTCCAAGAAAGCTGGAGAGCTCTTCTGAAAGGTGTAAGCAATACAAGGACCAGGTGGTGGGAAGCATGGCAATGCCCGAACAAACAGCGTAGGTATTAAAAGCAAGTTGGGAAGAAAAGAGGCATTTCCATCTGTGAAACCTGGCACCCAACGAAAGATAGAGCACCCCGAGTGTTTCTGTATGTATGCTTCCGGACTAGCACTAAAGAAGGAAAGCAGATCTTCAGTGCACTCTCAGGGAAGCACAGTGCCACTTCCTTTTGGCATCAGCTGTCTCCAGATCGGTGACAATGGCAGCCAGAAGAAATGGCTGATCTTTATCTCCCAGCAGTGTAACACTATCACAGGCACAGTACTGCTCTGGACAGCTGACTACCACTGGAACTTAGCTTATCATTTAAAGCAGTGAAAGTATCACACATTGTTCCTTCTGATTTGAGTTCATTTTCCACTGCTTTCCCTTTTTCATAATTTTCATTAGGAGACACAGGCCATTGCTGAATACGGTTAGGTAATGAGCTAAACAATAATGGAAAACTTCATTTTGAAGCAAGAGAAAAAAAACCTCAAGAGGCAAGGGTATCAACCATCTCCCCTAATTACATCTCCCATTTTGTTAACATTACATCAATTCTGAATTGCTGAGAAAATTAGTATTTTTAACTACGAGGACACACTGTGAGCTACTTGATGACAGGGGATTAACATCAAAATTCAAATTCATTAAAAAAAAAAAATTGTATACATCAGGGCTAAATTCGAAGGAACAAAGGTCTAGGCAAGTCTCTTCCCTGCACGTGACGAGGAAAACGTGGAAGGGACTGAACACACAAGGTGACGACCTTCACCAGGCGGCCTCCTGTGAAGGACAGTGGCATGCAGCAGTGTGTACACTGCCTGCCACCTGCCGGGCTCTACCCTCAAAGCCTGCACTTACACCACCCTCTGTCCCACTCCTTCATTTCAGACACGCACGGTTCTTCTCATCTAGGACATTATGGAAGTGTCATGACTGTAGTGGGGAACTTGGGTCCATCTCTTATTCTAGAGACGGTGAAGAAGGGGATGAAGAATACAGAAACAGAAATTAAAAAGGAGCAGAGCCAATGCAAACTGTACTAGGATATATTAAATTTCTTCTCTAAAATTCCCTTTTTCCAAAGTATTGTGGGACTGAAAATGGTTTCCCCCAATGTGCTGGTTTTAGCTGGGACAGTTACTGTTCTTCATGGTAGCTAGTGTGAGGCTACATTTTGGATTTGTGTGAGGCTGTGTTTTGGATCTGTGCTGAGTTCTGGTAACACTGGTGGTTTTAGTTGTTCCTAAGGAGAGTTTGTACCAAGTCAAGCACTTCTTCAATTTCTGATGCTGTGCCTGTGTTTCCAACTTCTCTACAAGAAGCTGGGAGGGGGCACAGGCAGGACAGCTAATCCAAACTGTCCAAAGGGACATTTCATGCCATAAAACATTATGCTCAGTATGTAAGTTGGCCAGGGGTGGGCACTCTCGCCCCATCTCTGGCTTTTGGTTGGTCGGCAGGTGCTGAGCAGCTGTATCATTTGTTTCCTTTTCTGTTATTTTACTTACATATTATCAGTACTCTTAGTATTATTGGTATAATTATTTTAATTCATTTACTTTAAATTATTAAATTATTCTCTTCTAAACCCACGAGTTTCCTTGTCTTTTCCTCAGAATCTCCTCCTCCCCTGGAGGGAGGGGTGGGGAGGGGAGCAAGTGGCCGCGTGGTGCTTAGTTGCTGGCTGGCATTAACCATGATAGTTATTTTACACCTCTGGTTTCCTATGTCTCCTTCACAGGCACTTAAGTTTTCTTATAGTTCTGTTTAAACTACCAATAATCCTATAAGGAGAAGCATACTGCAGGAAAAAATACGTTCCTGTATTTACTGCATTCTTTCAAACAATCCGGTCAGGTGGAAAGCTGGGAATGCCATGGGTGTTTGTGGATGTTGTAATCCAGAACAAATTCCACCACGCAACACTTGCTCAGCAGCACGCACCGATGTCATCCCTAATGCACACGCAGGCAGGCCCAGCTTCTGCGTTTTAATCTCTTCCTGGTTTTGGAAAGTTTGGGAAAGAAGAGAGAACTTGCTCTCAGGTTAAGTGACAGCAAAAAAATAGATCAAACCAAAGCGTACTGCTTCTGGAAATAAAAACACTGTTTTGACTTTGAAGTAGATTTCCAGTAAATATCAAAGTAGTAATTAATTCTCAAATATTTAAGTAAGTCAGGGGATGTACCAATTGTCACTAAATGAAAAGCAAAAAGCTTGAACTGAGCATCATTACAACAAAAAACTTTTCATAGAATTCATAGAATGAATTCACAGAATGGTTTGTGTTGGAAGGGACCTCAAAGCCCACCCAGTTCCACCCCCCCTGCCATGGGCGGGGACACCTTCCACTAGACCAGGTTGCTCAAAGCCTCATCCAGCCTGGCCTTGAACACTTCCAGGGATGGGGCATCCGCAGCTTCTCTGGGCAACCTGTTCCACTGCCTCACCACGCTTACCCTGAAGAATTTCTTCCTGATATCTAATCTAAATCTCCCCACTTTCAATTTAAACCCATTACCCCTTGTCCTGTCACTACATGCCCTTGTGGAAGTCCCCACCCAGCTTCCTTGCAGGCCCCTTCAGGTACTGGAAAGTTGCTCAATGAAGACCAACACTGACTCTCATCTGTACACACTAAAACCACAAAAATAGATTTAGTTTTGCAGGATATCCAGGTCTGACTGTAAGTATTGGAAGAAGCAATTCTGTCACTAAGATGTACTTTTTTTGGAGATTAAACACTTACTGTACATTTCTAGGTTTTGACCACGCCATATTCTGTGTTTCCTTCAAGCCAAGTCGCAAACCATTCAGCGCACCAAATGCTGCCCCTAGTCAGTACAATATCAGCTGTTACTTTTTCAGAAGAAGAAAAAGGAACAAAACAATACTAGAAGCAAATTCTGCGAACAGGCTTCAGAGTACAGACTGAAGTTAAATAGCTGTTTATGTAAAACTAAATTGCAGAACAAGACTTATAATCTTGTCAACTCCTGCAGTACATTGGTGTTACATGCACAGCTGGGAAAGTGAAAAACACTACACCTACCCGTCATACAACATCCTCCGATGGTAAAAAAGGCCAGCTCAAATCTGCCTCGAGTTTTGTTGGCTCCTGTGGGCAAGATAAACTCATCTGTGTCCTAGGAGAAAACAAAACAAACACCTTTGTATTATCCAGGTGTACCTACTTCAAAATATCTTAAATTTTTTTCTTCAATCCTTACAATGAACTAAAGAGAAAGCAGAGTTTCTGGAAAAACTGCATTTGTACTGAAAAGTTATTTCCTTGCACTGAAATAAGTGGCCTATTTTGAAAACATGTAAAAAGGAAGGAATAAATTCAAAACTGGTGATGATCAGGCATGAAATACACGAGGTCGGTAGTTTTTTCTACTTGTGCATCTTTCTCCCACAGGGACAGGCTTGTGTTCTTGCATATCAATTTGGTCTACAAAGATGAACAGCCAGAGAAACAGGCCGATGACTAGCATTTGTGTAGAGGTAATGTGCTTAAAAAAGCACTTTTTTAATGAAACATTGACAAGATGCACCTGTGCTGATAAGCAGGAAGGTCTTTTTTTTTTATGCTTCTGTGCTCTCCAGTCATAGTATTATTCACCCATTATTTAACTGACATGTGACCATGACAACTGCAACCTCATGTAATTGCATTCTAAGGGCTTTTCTTAGTCAATACTTCATACTACATATGGATGGCAATAAAGAAAAAAAATACAGCTTCCAAAATTGTGAATACTTTATCAATAATCTAAACCTGTAATATGGTTTCTATCTTCCCTATAACTAGGTACTTGGAGAAATTAAGTGTGTACCCTAGTTAGCAGTTCCTTACAGTTTTCAGTATTGTCCAAAAAGTCAAGATGAAGCAATCGCTGTCTGTATGGAACCTGTATGTTTCTACAGAGACAACAACCTAGGAGGCCCACCCTCTGGGTTTTTGACAAAGGCTGGCATGCTATTTTATAATGGATACCTGCTGAAGTTAACAAAGGCATTGCAGAAAACACGTTGCTTTGTGTCTGCATGAATGGACTAACAAAGACAGTGGGGTTTTAAGTCATGAGTACCACTGTAGCATTCGTTATTATGGGAAGGCTGGGATCAAAATGTAAGGTTCTCAACAGTAAGGCTGACTTTCCCTCTGCATTCTGAAAGCAAATGGATGGTCTTTACATACAGGAGACCCCCACCCCTCTACGCACACCTTCACAGACAACCCCATTTCAAAGGCTAATAATTAAAAGTTCTTATATTTCAAAATATTAGCTCTGTGCTTTTCCTTGAATTTTTAAAATCACAGAATGGCCAAGGTTGCATGGGACTGGTCGAGACCATTTATTGCAAGCAATTGCTGATAGCAGGGTCAGCTAGTGCTGGTTGCCGTGGCTGCACCCAGGTTTCACATATCCCTGAGGATGGAGACCCCATGGCTTGTCTTGTTTAAGTAAAAAAGTTTTTTCTCACACTGAAATGGAATTCCCTTTTACTGCAATGTACTTGCTAGTGCTAAGCATAAAGAGCAGTGAAGTGTTAACACAAACTGTAGCCTCTAGTGTTACGTCAATATGTATTTTTAGAACTGTTTTATAAGTTACTCATGACACTAATGCCAATTCCTTCTTTTCTTTTAAAGCAAGGGTGGTTTTTGGTTTTTTTTTTTAATTGGTAGGTTTAAAAAAAAAAAAATCTATTAGTATACACACACTTGGTTCCAAAAGCTCTTGTTATACCATCTTTAACACCAATGTGTTCACAGATATACTACTAAACGAGACAGCTTTAGAAGGTATTTTCAGAAGAGGGCTAAAGCATCACTTAGCATTTTTTTGACTGCTCAACAACAGCAAGCAAGATAATTGTGCTAGTGAATCCACTTCAGAGGCGTATCCCGTTTTCTACCACTATGGGAATGTTATGTTGTAAGCTTGACAACAGCTTCTAGTGAAAGAGAAATATAATAAACAGCTCCCAAAAGTGCATTCAGAGCTTTCCACTTACAAAAGAAGCAGTGAGCCCGTGTACCATGAAACAAAAGGCACACAAATTAGCAGATACAACTGTTGACCTTCAGTGCTACTTCTGCAAAATCTCATGTTCTCATATAATATAATCCATGTTTATATAAATATATAGAAAATATCAACTAAATAAAATCATTAAGACATGCATCCTTATTGGCTAACTTAAAACTATTCAGCTATAGTTAATATTGCTGAAAAAGGAAAACACAGGATTTAAATTTCTTTTATATTCCTTACAGTTTCCTGTGGGCCATCACGTTATGTTAACTAATATTATGCTGTGTAAGTATGATAGCAACATTGTTCTGTAGCATAAACCATACAGCTCTACTTCATGATGGTCTCCCTTCAGCTGGGAAATGACATATGGAAAGTGGTGTGAAATTCATTGCTACTGCGATGAGGGCACATATGCCAACAAAGCCTGTATCAGGTCTGGGGTTTGGCTGAACACCATGTAAACTGACCAATCTCATGACAGTACAGAAAGCTAATCCATCAAGAGTGTGGAGAGTTTCTAGCTGACTGAAGTGGCTCAGTGGAGGGTGTGACAAATGCCAGCACTTGTGCAAGGGTACGCTGGGGTTGTATGCCTTAGTGTAGGGAGGGAGACACCCTTTTCAATACCAGCAGGCTTACATTGACACAACAGTCTTCCTTATCCTCGGTATTAAAACCATTTTTCTTCTCCTAAATGCCATGGCACTGCAAGCTTTGACTAGGAACAATACTGAAAAATTCGTTCTTTCCAACTGTTCATCAGTTATGAATTCAGTACACCCTGAGCAGCACTGCAGGATTTCTGAGGTCTTCGCATATGGCACATGGACATGTAAACAATGGAATCGAGTTCAACACAACACAAACAAGTCGTCTCTCACCTGTACTAGATACCTGGGATCCAAGTTTAAATACGGGGACAACGGACTCATTCCAGTAACTGAAAGGAAAAAAAATAGAATACTTCAATACCAATTTCCCATCCGGTAAGTTAAAAGGGGGCAGACCTCGTGCGCGGAAGCAGTGAAAACGGTGCCATTAGGTTGCGCAACCGATTAAAACACGACACCGACTGAAAACCTCGTTTCCAGGAAGCGCTACAGGAGCGGCACGGCTGGAATGGACACAACGTCTCCGCATCCGTGCCCGTCGCAACATGCCGCCACCGCCGAGGGTCCGGCTGTAGCGG